AGCCAAGATCGTGCTATTGCACTCCAGAAAAAAAAAAAAAAAAAAAAAAAAAAAAAAAAAAAAAAAAAAAAAAAAAAAAAAAAAAAAAAAAAAAAAAAAAAAAAAAAAAAAAAAAAAAAAAGGAAAAAGAAAAAGAAATTGGCTCAAAATAAACCAAAAAAAGAAAGAAAAAAGCAAAATGCCTCATGGCTCCCCCTCGCTTACAGAATAAAGTAAAACCCTTATCCCACACACAGCAGCCTCCACCCTGAGGCCCCCCACGCCTCCCCAGCTTCTCCTGTCCTCCTCCTCACACAGCCTGTGATGTAGCCAAGTGATAGCACCAAAAGCTTCTACACCACAGCCAGAGTTTCCCAGCTGTGTCTTCGTTCTTGTTCTTCCTGTGGGTGACCCCCCATAGAGGCACCGAGGAATGAGAGCTAAGCAGAGCCCTGGCACAGTTAGGGCTTGAGGAATATCTCACTTTATTGTGTTACTACTCAGCTATTTCCTTTTATATAATCCTTTACATAATCATATATTAGTTTACAGAAATAGGGCTTGAAGTCTCCCTTTATATAATCCTCTATATATAATCATATAATAGTTGATAGTATAAGTGCCTGAAGAATATTTCCCTACATGTATACCTATAATTATATCTTAGTTCATAATCGGAGGAATGCCTAGAGCAGACACAGTGCAGAGCATGAATTAAGGGAAAACAGTTATACCAGGACAAGAATCCATGGCCCAGGCGGCAGCATTCAGTATCGTAAAGATACCCGCTGTGTGGCAGGCTTGGGACAAGAGCCACTCCTCCTGATAAAGGAGTTGTAGGACCTTGCTCCAGTTCTTGTGGAGGCTGCCCTCAGAACGGCAATCCACCTTGGTGACCGTGAACATTATCAGCTCTCGCTACCGTGCTGCTTGAAAAGCATCTTCCCGTAGAATCCATTGGAAGCTGCCAGAAGGTGGTGGTAACCTTGACAGTTCTGTCACTGCTATGTGACTTAAAGCAGCCTCCTATAAATCTTCTTAGAAGTAGTTTTCCCATAGATAGAAGTATCACACAAGGCACCCTCTTCACTGCGCACGGTCCACCTTCAAGCCTCAGTGGCCTAATGGGGGTGGACCCCTTACTGCACACGGCCCTTGCCTTCGTGGGAACGGGCCCCTTGCTGCGTGCTGTCCACCTCCTGGCCTAGGTGACCTAATGGGGGTGGACCCCTTGTTTTATTGCTCACGACACTATCACTATCCTTAAAGATGATTTCACTCACTGCCCTGCCCCCTAACCTATACACAATAAATACTCATGCTTTTGGACATTTGGGGCTCGCTCGCCACCCTCTCCAGCCTTGCCTGACTCTGCTTATAGGTGGCGTGGCCCCCCGAGCCCAGTTGCATTTTCTTTGTACTTCTGTGTTCTGTCTCTTTACTTCTCAGATCCTGCACCTCAGCACAACATAAGGCTCACCCCACGACCCTGTGGGGACTCAGCTTTACATCTGGCTCCCAATGTGCCCTACACTTCCCACCAGAAATCCCTTTCCTCATCCCAGTCTGTCATGATCTTCCCTACACCTGTAGTTCTCTAAAAACCAAGGCTGGGCTCGGTGGCTCACGCCTGTAATCCCAGCCCAACACTTTGGGAAGCCATGGTGGGCGGATCATGAGGTCAGGAGTTTGAGACCAGCCTGGCCAACATGATGAAACCTCATCTCTACTGAAACTACAATAATTAGCCGGGTGTGGTGGTGGGCTTCTGTAATCCCAGCTACTGGGGAGGAAGAAGAAAAAAAAGGCCTAGACAGGTTTAGACAGTGTTTTTCTTTTTCTTTTTTTTTTTTTTGAGACGAAGTCTCACTTTTGTCCCCCAGCCTGGAGTGCAATGGCTCGATCTCGGCTCACTGTAACCTCTGCCTTCCAGATTCAAGTGATTCTCCTGCCTCAGCCTACCAAGTAGCTGGGATTACAGGCATGTGCCACCATACCCAGCTAATTTTGTGTTTTTAGTAGAGACGGAGTTTCTCCATGTTGGTCAGGCTGGTCTGGAACTTCTGACCTTAGGTGATCTGCCAGCCTAGACCTTCCAGAGTGCTGGGATTATAGGGGTAAGCCACCGTGCCTGGCCAACAGTGTTTTTCTTTAAGTTATAAAAGTAATATATGCAAAGTGTAATCCCAGCACTTTGGGAGGCCAAAGTAGGATCACTTGAGTCCAGGAGTTCAAGGCCAACGTGGGCAAAGTAGTGAGACACCCCCCTCCCCGACCATCTCTACAAAAAAATTTTTTTTTAATCAGCCAGGAAGGACGGCAAACACTTGTAGTCCCAGCTATTCAGGAGGCTGAAGTGGGAGGATCACTTGAGCCCCAGAGGTTGAGGCTGCAGTGACTGTACTCCAGCCTGGGTGACAGCAAAACCCTGTTTCAAAAAAGGAAGCAAACAAACAAAAAAACACAAAGAGTTTAGACAGTATTTCTCTTTAAGTTATAAAAGTAATATATGTACATGATATAAAATGAAAAGCAAGTTCCCGTCTTCCCCTAACCCCTGCAGGGTCACTCCACAAATAACCTTCCGGAAAGATTTTGTGGACCTACCAACATATATATGTCAGTTCTATTCAGATTTAGGTAAATGGGATTATACTTAACATGCAACATGCTTTTTTTTTTAACTTATAAAAGTTGGAGATAATTCCTCGTCAGTACATGGATAGCTGCCTAGATGCTTTTAACAGCTGCGTGACATTAACACAAATTATACCCCCGGCCTAATTAAGGCTCTTCCCTCTTTGGCCTGGCAGGTGTGCATTGCTGCAGCCAAGGCTGAGCTCAGCATCCCTGTACCTATGTGGCCGGGCAGCACGCCATGCTTGCATGGGACAAATTCCTGACACCAGCTTAAACACCACCATGAATCCCTCCCCTCCTGGGGACTCCAACAGAGCTTCCAGTGGAGCTCCAGGAGAGAGGACCCAGCTGGGGCGTTTCTAGCTGCGTTTGTTAGACTCTAAGGTCAGATTGTGAGTTTAAACCCCAGCCGCTGCCCTCACATCACCCTCTGCCTCCGTTTTCTCGTCACTAAAATGGGGATGATCATAATGGTACCCACTTCATAGAACTGTACCACGGGTTAAATAGACAAAAGCACTTTGGAAAGGCTAAAAGGCTGCTCTCACCCTTCCTGTGACAGTATTGAGTCCCCACGCCATCTCCCCTGTAGAGTGCTGGCACTTTGTGGGCGACCCTGGTTTTGTTCGTCTCTGCACATAATCCTGGAATATGCTGGTTGCACAATAAATGTGGTCCCTTACATTTGTGATTAGGAGCACACCCCAGCTGTGGCCCATGCCCCCTCCTTCCAGCCTGTCGCCCCAGAGCTATGGAGGGGAGATGCATCTCTCAGATAATCCCCAGTGCCAGGTGCTCCCCACTGCCACCCAGGTCAGCGATAAACCCCAGAGTGCTGGCCTGGGGGGCAGGGTGGCTCAGGAGCTCTCTAAGGGCCAGAGATTTTGGCTCTGCCCTGACACCCCCACCCCCACCCCTCCAAGCCTGAGTCTCTTAAAACTCTGCTCCTCCTGGTCTGGCCAGGCCTCCTGAGACAGGACAGGCGAGATGATAAGCGATGGGGCTGAGTACGGGGCATCCAGACCTTGGAGTTCGGTCCTAGCTGCCCTGGCCAAGGTTTTGTTTGTTGAGTCCCAAGAGGGCAGGCCCTTGGAGTCCAGGGAAGAGAGAAGGATCCAACCCGGGCAGATAGACCCAAGCAGAGGGACCAGGTGTCCCAGCGTCCCCAATCTCCAGTCTGGCTCTGGCCCGCGTGGCAGCTGGAAGGGCCAGAGCTGGGTGGGTCCTGTCAATGCTCCCTGGGGTGAGGGTGGGGGAAGGAGTCACGAATGTTGGCCTTAGCTACAAGGCAAATGCAGATAGGACCTCCGCGGGGTGCCTGTTCCCAGCCCAAGGGCACAGCAGAGCTAGCAGGAGACCTCGGGGTCCAGGCCCAGCTTTCCGGGTGGAGTGTGACTAGAGACTAAAAGCGTCGAGGGAACAGGCCCACTTGGATGAAGGCGCCGGAGGAAGGAGATGGGAGATTGGGCGCTGTTTCTTCTTACACTTGTTATTAGGAGCAACCCCCAGCTGTGGCCCACTGCCCCCACTTCCAGCCTGCGCCCTCCGTGAGGCCCCAGAGCTGGGGAGGAGAGACGCATCTGGATTGGAGATGGCAATCCAGACCTAGATGACGTGCTTGGTCCGGGGTGGGGGGAAGACGCCAAGAGGGAAATTCCCGGATGGCGCCCTGAAGAGGCCAGCTCGGGCGAAAACAGGGATCTGCCCAGGCGCTGACCCAGCCGGGTGGCCGGCGGGGGCGGGAACGCAGGAAGCAGGCGGAGCCCGAGGCCGCGTCCAGGCCCCGCCCCGCCGGCCGCGCGCAGGTAGGGAAGAGGCGGAGCGCCGCCGCCCGGCCGCTCGCAGGCGCCGCTCGGAGCCGCGTCCCGGGGACTTGGGGCCGCAGGGAGGTGAGCGCGGGGCGACGAGCGGTCAGGGCGCACGGCCACCCAGCCGCAGGCGCCGGACAGGTCCCGAGGCTGGGCCCCAGCCTGCCCTGGAGCGGCGGTGCGCGGCCAGGGAGGGTGCCCGGTGCCCGGTGCCCGCCCTGAGGAGCGCCCAGGTCCCACGTGGGCTCGGCCGGAGGCCCGGGCTGTCTGGGACGGCGCCGGCCAGGCCGCCGGACCCGGTCTGCCGGCCCCTGGGCTCGGCTTGGACAGGACGCCTAAGGGGTCCCTGGGCAACGGGGCGCCAGATGTGGGGGCAAGACGACTGGGCAGAAGTTTAAACCTCCGGGGGAAGGGAGGCACTGCGCAGGCGGGGCCGGGTAGTCCCGCCGGCGCCCCAGAAGCGCCTGCAGTTCAGACTCTCCTCTCCCCTCCGCTTTCCCCCGGGTGAGCACCCGGCGGCCGCGGGCCGAAGTTTGTCGGTTGAGCCCAGCCAAGATGGAAACAGGTGCGGTGGTGCGGATGGGGGAGCCGGACTCACCCAGGAGCCCTGACTTCTGGATGGGGGCTGGGGAAGGTTGGCCCTGGGCTTGCCTTTTACCTATTTGGCCCCTCGGATGTTCCCGCAGAGCACTGGGTTAGAGACGGATGAGTCCCATAGGGTACAGACAGCGCCCCACTTCCACCCCAGGGCGCAGAGGGAGCCCCGGTTTCAGCCCCTGCCCCACTTCAAGAAAGACTAACGAGGGGGCTCTGGGGTTAGGGCTGCTGAGAGGGTGGCAGCGGGTGTGTCTGAGGAGCAGGAGGCTGGGGGAGCTGACCCTACATGGGAAGAGGCTGCTGTTGCCTGGGCGGCTGGCATCAGGCCCCCAGTGTGTGCCATTTGCTGGTAAAATAAGGAGACCAGCCCAGTGTGTGCCATTTGCTGGTAAAATAAGGAGACCAGCGTCTGTCTTATTCGATCGTCATTGTTTGTAGGGCAGGGCGTGGAAAGAGGGGCGTGTTTGAACCGTGGTTCTCAACCGGGGGCGACTTTGCCTGCCATGGGATATGTGGCAATGCTCGAGTCATTTTGGGTGTCACACATTTGGGAGGGGAAGTGAGTGTTGTTACTGGCAGATAGTGGGTGGAGGCAGGGATGCCACCAGGCATCTTTCAGTGCACAGGGCAGCCTCCACCATGGGGAATTATCCAGCCCAGGGCTCTGTGCTGTGCTGAGGCGGAGAACCCTGGGCAGCACCTGCTTGGTCAGGTGCCTTCTCAATGGTTCGCCCTCAGTGAAACTACCTGTTTCCCCAGCGGTTAGGGGAGGAACTTGGAAGAAACCTAAATGAGATAGGGCGGCATAAGGGCAGTTCTTCACCTCGAAAGAGTCCTTTGGTGCCATGAGCCACCGCCTTACCCATCTCCACTGGCCCTGCAGGAAGCTGCAGGATGCTGTGGGTGGGGGGAGGATTGGGAGCAGAGGCCCCCTCGCAGCCTGGGTCTGGAGTGCTTAACCCCAGGGCAGTCTCCCAGGTAGGCTGGGCCAAGGCAGTCCTTGAGCTCAAATATCCCTGCACTGGGAGGGCGGGCAGAGGGTGAACTCTGTTCCCATCGATTTTTCCAAAGCTGGATTGCCGAGGCTGGCATGGGTGCCTGATACCATGTGACCTGCTGGAATTTTCCCTTCTGAACCGACACCTAACTCCTCTGATTATTTACGCCTTTTGAAAGTGACATGAAGGAGCATCAGAGCTCCTAATTCATGGGGGCTTCCCTGGTTCCTTTCTCCTGAAATAAAGAGGGAATCCTGGGTTAGCCGACGAGCCCTGGAGTGGGCCCAGCTTCTGGTGGGGTGGGGGCACCCCTGCCCGTGGCATTAACCAAGCAGAGGTGAGAGATGGGAAGCATCAAAGCCCAATCCAGGTGGCCTCTGGTAAGGATGACAGAATTGTTTGCGTTGGGCTGGAGGAAGGCACTTCCAGTCTTCTGGCAACGGGGAGGGGAGGCTGGCATGGTGGGAGTGGATCAGATGAAGCAGCCATATGTGTGCCCAGGAGCCAGGCCACCTCGCCGCCCTCCCTCCCTGTTTCCTTGCAGTAGCCATTACCCCCATCCTGTTCACTTCTGGACCCAGCCTCTGCCTGGGAACCCTGGTGGAGGTTTCGAGTTTGGGTTCTTTTCATTGGTGTTGCTGGGTTGTGTTTTGTTTTGTTTTTCTTGGTCTCTCGACTGTAAAAGCCCAAAGTGAAGCTCCCACCTTTTCATTTGCACAAAAACAATAACAGTGGTCCCCACTGCTGTGAGCCTCTCAAGGCACAGGGCTGAGCACCTAGACTTGTACAAAGTTGTTCAGGAAGTCGGCAGTGGAATTCAAGTGTGAACGCGGCTGCCCACCCTCAGGCCCAGTCCAAGAGCCTCAGTGACTCCTACCTGTCTGTACCTGGTGTAAACACACACACACAGACACACACTCCCTCTCCACCCCAGAAGGGGGCCTTTTGTTCCTGGAAGGAGAGGAATAAATCACACAAATGCTCTGGGTGATGCACTTGGGGCCCGAGTCATGCTCTGGCGTCACTAGTGTTGTTTTTCCTGTGGCCTCAGCTCTGGATGCTGTGGCGGCTTCTTCACCAGGGTTTCTGTCCTCCTTGCTGTGTAAACTGTCCCAGACAAGGTGACAGATGACAGCAGAAGTCCAGGAGCTGTGCACGCCTGCCTGCGAGTGTCCGAGTGGCCTGGCTGAGCCTCCTGGTGTTACCCTTTGGACCTGGTCCCCGTCTGCCGCTGGCACGGCACGGGGGAGACGTGGACCCTCCTGGCTGCCTCTCCCCCTCCGCACACCCCTCAGATCTCTGTGCCTCGCACTTTGGAGCAGGCCTCGGTGCTGCCCCTGCTGCCCCAGGGGGTTTCCAGAGTGAGCTCACGCATCTGACCGGCTGCACTGGCTGTCAGTTTCCTATCCAGCTGAGCCAGGCTGGGGGAGGAGTGTTGGGGACATCTGCCCTGCCCAAGTGCAGGCTGACCTCGGCGTTGTGGCGGCTGGGCAGGGACAGCGCTCAGGGCACGGGTGGCTTCACAGGGAAACCAAGCCTGCCTGGAAAGTCGTTTTGCCTCCCTGGGAGACCTGGATGGGTGTAAAGGAAAGCTCATCTTCAGGGACTTACAAAGCACCAGTGTGCCCATAGTCCCTACTTCAGTAAATGGATCTGGGCACCAAGCTGGGAGTTGTTTGTGGTCCAAATGCCGCTGGAAGGCAGTTCCAGCCCCGGTGCCCAGCTCCTCCAGGAAAGTGGTTTCAGCCAAGTGGGCAGTGCAGGAGGTGGGCCAATCAGAGACACTGTGTGGACCATGAGGGTCACCTTGTCACCAGCAGAAAGGATGCAGAGGGATTCCAAACTTCGGGAGCTGGGCCAGGGTCCAGGGGAACAGTTGTCTATGTGTGTGACACAAGTGAGGCACAGTTGTCTGTGTGTGTGCTCAGTAGGATGGGGTCACTTAAACAGTCCGTGCCTCAGTTTCCCCAGCTGCACAGTGGAGTCACTAACAGTAGTCTACCTGGAGGGTTGTGTGAGGTGAGGACTCCTGTGGCGATTTGTGTTCAGACTTCAGTGCAGTGCCCGGCCGTGGCAGGAGCAGTGAGGGGAGCCATCATGATAATAGTATTAGGGTGGCTTCAGGTAGGGGCGTGGCTGCTGGTCCATGGCACCAGGTGCTGCGGGGATGGCTTTTTGCCCCTGGTCTCTGGCAAGAAACCCTTTTCTCTCTCCCAGTGGGTCTCCCCATGTTGTCAGCTCCATGTAGCCATAAGCAGATCTGGAAGAGGAGGGTTGGGATCTGCTGTGGGGTTTGGAGTGGGAACAGGAGTTTGAACCTGGGCCTAAGCCCCTTATGACCTTGCCAGCCTGTGAGGAGGATGACAGCTACCTCTCGCCCTCAGCCTCAACTAAATGAGATCACGTTTGTGGAAGTCCTTTGCCAAGCCAGGCAGTGCTGCCCAGGGAATTAGGTGTTGTCCCTTCTTCATGACTCAAAGGACTGCGCACATGGGACTCACTCCAGCATCGAAGCCACTCAGAGTCCTCACCGTTCTTTTGCCCCTGCCTCTCACCAGTGCCAGGCTGGCAGGAGGCTGCAGTGTGGGGGTTAAGACCACGGGACCCTGGCTGGGGTTGTAGCCCCACCACTCCCTAACTGTGGGGCCTTGGACAGGTGACTTCATCTCTCTGAGCCTCAGCTTCCCCACCTGTTGAATAGAGATCTGTCTCCTGTGAGGCTCATGGCTGAGAGACTGAGTGATGGTAGCAGAGCTCAGCCAGGAATAAAAGATGCTTCCACCTGAGCGCCGGGTGTGTGCCAGGCACTGCACATCCATATCTGCTGTGGCCCTCCCTGGCTCCGTCTATGGTGGGGCATCACCCCGTCTCAGCAGAGGAGGCAGGCTCCACAGCACCCACTTGCCCAAAGTCTCACAGCTGGTAGGTGGCCACTGCGGGTTTGAGTCCCATCCCGTCTCTGGCCACTTATCCCTCCTCATTCTTCAGCAAGAGAGCCCCACGCTGCCCCAAAGCAAGGCACAGGGCATGAGTAGGTGGCTTTGCAGGCCTGCTTGGGACAAGCAACCTGGCGGGCTGGTGGCCAAGTGTCCTGAAGCCCTGGCAGCCACTGGGGCTAGGACCAGCCTCTTCCCTGGGAAGCAGGGAGCCGCAGGGCAAGGTTCTGGGAAATCAGGTTTATTAGTGTCTTAATGACTGTTTACAAGCTCAGAAGTGTCTACCTGGCATTTTCCCTCCCTGCTGAGGGGCTCCATGCAGCCAGGGACGGAACTGGGCCTCCAGAAGCTTTCTGAGTATGTGGAGGTGCGCGCCCAGGACCGCTGTCAGCTCCCTGGGGTCTGCATGCTCACACCCAGCCAGCCCAGACCTATTTCTGGCTGGGTAACACTGGGCAAGGTGCTGACCTCTCTGTATAATAGGTGAGACCTTGTACCTTAGCTGAGCTGTTCCTGGGGTGAGCCCTTGTTCAAAGTGACAAAGTCACCTAGATCTTAGCCCCTAGGAGGGTACTAGCATATTATGCATACACAAACTGAGGCTCAGAGATGTTAAGTGGCTTGCCCAAGATCACACAGCAGTTAGGGATGAGCCTATGACCCTGTCTTCTGCCGTCAGGCAGGATTTTACCTGTCTGGAGGCAGGTGATCAGGTGGGCTCCGACTTTGTAAGTGCAGGACAGAGCCCTGTCTGTGTACATGGTGCGATCATGAATGGAAATGGCCTGGCCACACCTTAGTGTCAAGAAGCCTCCAACAGGAGTGAGACGGGCCTGTCACTCAGACCCCAGTCTGCATCCCGTCCTGCCCCAACCACTGGGCATGAGCTGGACCACCACTGCTTCCAAGGGCCCGTGAAAACCTGGCTGCCGGGACACACAGAGGCGGACTTTCAGGAATGTTTGCAGCAAAGGGCATTTCCCACCAAGCCTGTGTTGCTGTGGCACCATGTGTGAACGCCCCACCCCGGGAACCCTCCAGTGTCCTGGTGTCTGACCCCAAGTGGACAGGGCCTTTTGGGCCCCAGGGGCCACTTCTGACTCTTCCCCTTCACATCAATGCTGAGGGAGCAGGAGAACTGGGGTCTGGCTGCTGCGCATGCCCCTTCCCTTGATTGCCCCAAACCCTTCAGTCCAGCCCGAGGCTGGGGAGCTGCTTCGTCTTCCCTGGGTGTGGAAGGCGCCTGCACCCCTGCCCAGCTGCTGCCACTTGCCTGCCTCCACCAGCAGCTTCGTTTTGTTGTATTTTTTGGGGATGGAGTCTCACTCTGTCACCCAGGCCAGAGTACAGTTGTACGATTCCAGCTCACTGTAACTTCCGCCTCCAGGGTTCAAGCGATTCTCCTGCCTCAGTCTCCCAATGGGATTACAGGTGCCCCCCACCACGCCTGGCTAATTTTTGTATTTTTAGTAGAGATGGGGTTTCACCACATTGACCAGGCTGGCCTCAAACTCCTGGCCTCAGGTGATCCACCCATCTTGGCCTCCCAAAGTGCTGGGATTACAGGCGTGAGCCACCACACCCAGCCTCCACCAGCAGCCTTTGAAATCCAGAAATTTCCAGGGGAGGACACTGTGGTGGGTAGGGCCCAGCACTTCGTCCAGCTCAAGAGGCCTGGCTGCACTGCCACTTCCTTTGGTGCCCGCCCCTGTGTCTTGCCAGCAGCTGCTGCACCTTGGGCTTCGGGGCTGTAGGGCTTCGGCACCCCCAGCCCAGCCTTCTTCCTGGACTGGAAACCCTAGCAGAGGAGGGGGCGTTTGTGTATCTGCCATCCCTGCTGGCAGCTGGTCCTGAGAAAGTCCAGATGGTTGGTGCAGAGGGGGCGTCAGGGGCTGCACCACCCTAAGAACATGACACGTTCCCCACCCCCGCAACACACATGCAGGTTCACACCCTCACACGCGGATCTTGGTGGCTCCCTGGAGCCCAGTGCCCGCTTCCCGTGTCTGTGGTTGGCTTACGACACCCCAGCCACTCTAACTGGGTTAAGGGGAGCCCACAGCCTGGGATCTGATGAGAGGAGGCACAGGGCCTCAGGTGAGAGGAGGGTTGGGGCTTTGGGGAAAAGCCCAAAGAAGTCGGGATGGTCAAGCTCCTGAGCCTACCCCTGGGGTCTTGAGCTTCTGAACTGAGTTTGGGGCCAGCCCTGGAGGGGCAAGGAGGAGAAAGAAATGGCCCCCTGGGCCAGGGCCCACGGTCCGTGGGATGTCTGGGAGGTGTGGGAACCCATAGGCTGTTTTGTTTCTCTCTGTCAGTGGCTGCGGGCTGAAGTGTGTGCCAGTGGAGTGGGTTGAGATCGTGTCTGCGCCCACTTGCCACCAGCTCCGGCCTCTGGGGAGGTGGTGCTGAGAGGGAGGGAGAGAGGCTCCTGCTTGGCTTTTGGAGACTGACAGCTGGGTGTCCCACCCTTGGAGTGCCCAGCCCCCCTCCCCTCTGCTAACTGCTGATGGAGCTCACACTGCCACCGACCCCTGCCCCTCCCACCCCTGCCCTCCTATTTCGCCTCTTATGACTCTCCCCAGATCCTGCCCCCAGGCCCCAGCCAGTCTTCTTGCCACTTTCCTGCCCTTTACCCTTGTCCCTTCTATCTCTCACCGGAGCAAGGAAGTGTGCAGGGGAGCATCGCTGGCTGCATGAGGCCCAGCCTGGGGACGCGTGGGGAGAGGTGAGGACAGTTGTGTCATGACCCATCTCTCCGGGCTCTGGGGCTGGAGAACTCCCCTGGGGTCAGCAGAAGCAGGGTTTTTTCTGGGGGTTGCACAGTGGGTGAGTCCCAGCTTCCTCTTTGCAGCTTTCTAAAAATGCCCTGGTTTCCAGCAGGGCCACAGGCAGGGAAAACAAGTTTCAGTTTCTGCCTCGCATCCTGTGATTCAGCCAGGAAGACGTGGCCCGGGCCCGAGGCCTCCCCCGCCCCTCTTCTGTCCTGACTGCCCACTCCCAGGGACACCTGGTGACTGCCTCACCCACCCGAGGCCCCGGAGCCGGGCTGGAGGTGGCTTCTGGCCCAGGGGGTGGTTTCCTCACTTCCTCTCTTCAGGCGACTTGAGCCCCTCCCTTCAGGAGGTCCCCCAAACTTCCCGGTCATATCCAGTGGTTAATAATGGTCTCCCTCCTTCCTGTCTGGAGGGAAGGGGGCTGCTTACTCCTTATCCAAGGGCCTGTCCCCCACTCTGTCCCAGGCTCGGCCCTTGCATCAAGCCCTGTGTTTTCCTCCGATCTGCACCTGCACGCTCTCCCTGCCCTGGCCCATAGAGCACAAAGAGCCCGGGCTTGTGGGGACTTCACCCTACATTAGCAAGACCCGCAGCCTCTAGAAACCCACTCGTGTGGGGGGGTTGTGGGGAAACTGGTGGCACCAAGTGGGGGAGAAAAGGAACCACACCCGGTGGAGTTGGGATGGGCAGTAGGCTGGCCCTGCATGGAGGAGTGCGGCTGGTGCAGTCTGAATTGGGGGGTCCCTTGTACCCTGCCTGGGCTGGCTGGTAGATCTCTGTTGGGGACCTCCCTGGCAGTGGCCTTGCTTACCCAGCTGCGCGGGACAGGTTTGGTTGGGAGTGCTCAGCCCCACCCTTTGTGGGGAAACCGGATTCTCTGGGCAGCAGTGGTAAATGGTGTCTGAGTCTGCATTTCTGTTGGATGTGCCTGAGCTCAGCTGCTGCTAGCTGAGTTATGCCATCTCCAAAGCTGTCTGCAGTTGGGGAGGCCCTGAGCCTGGGCTGGGGAGGATACAGAGGCCCCAACCCATGGGACCTGGGGGTGATCTGAACTCTGCACTTCACTTTTTCTCAGGATCTCCCTGCCTCACCCTAAGCCCCAGTTCCTCTCCCAAGGTCCATTTGGCATCTCGCAGCTGGGCTGGGGCAGAAGGCCCTTCTCTGGGGTTGGCCACAGTGAGGCCGGGATCCGGCTGGGCAGGTGGCAGGGTTCCTCCTGTGGGCTGCGTGCGGAAGCAGGCCTGGGGGTCTTAGAGAGTGGCGGATGTGACTGAAGGCCAGGAGGAAGCCTGGTCCCAGGATGTCACCATTTCCCCTGCAGTGAGCAAGCATTTCTGAGGCAGGAGATAAGTGCTGGGTGGGGCAATGCCAGCTCTCCAGCTCTTTTTTCTGCCTGGTCCCTGCTATCTGGACCTGAGCCATGCTGAAGGCCAGAGAGGGTCTGATAGTCCCCACTCCTTTCCCCGCTGAGCCTCGAGGAAGGGGGCTGGGCTTTTGCACCCCCACCCCAGTGTCGGCACAAGTTGCAGGCAGTTGGTCTCAATGGTGGCAAGGGGCTGGTGCAAGGCAATGCTTTCTTTCTTTTTTTTTGAGACGAAGTCTTGCTCTGTCACGAGGCTGGAGTGCAGTGGCACAATCTTGGCTCACTGCAACCCCTGCCTCCTGGGTTCAATTGATTCTCCTGCCTCAGCCTCCAGAGTAGCTGGGACTATAGGTGTGTGCCCCCACACCGAGCTAAGTTTTGTATTTTTAGTAGAGACGGGGTTTCACTATGTTGGCCAGGATTGTCTCAATCTCTTGACCCTGTGATCCGCCCACCTCGGCCTCCCAAAGTGCTGGGATTACAGGCGTAAGCCACTGTGCCTGGCCAAAGTAATACTTTTATATTCCGTGTTTGGGCTTTGTCGGTGTCAAAGCTGGGCCGTGACCTTGTCCTATTCCCTCAGAGAAGGGAACTGAGGCAGGGGGTGGAGCTGCTCTCAGGCCGCTGCCCAGGCCTCTTGTGCTCTGACGTTCAGGTGGCGCTCCTGTGTCAGGCTCCTGCCCCGAAGGCATGGCTGTCCTCTGTGCTGTCCCTGCTGTCTGGTGTCAGGCCACCTTCTTTTGGGACTCCCCTCCCCACCAATTGCCCTGGGGCTGGCCAGGCTCTCCTCTCCCTCAGTGTTGGGTCTTGGGAGCCCCTCTCATTCTCATCAGGAGGTTGGCACAGATGCCAGCAGGGCAGTGGCTCCTGGGCAAGGGTCTCAGCTGGGATGGCCTGGCCTTGGGATGGGGGCTGGCTGGGCAGAACCCCACAACCAAAAGCAGTGCCTACGGCAAGCTAGGGAGCTAGGCAGGGAGTCTAGCGGGGAGGCCCACTGGAGACTCGTCCGGGACAGCATCCAGCATCCTCCAGCCTGGCCATGCTGTGGACGCAGAGCCAGCAGGGTGGGAGCGCTCAGTGAAGCCCTCCGAAGGGGGCTGCTTCCTGGACCAGCTGCAGGATGGGGGAGACCGCTTCTGTCCAGGGCTACTATGGACGGACTGACCATGCCTAGCTCCCAGTCCTACCCTCTCATTAGCTTGCCATTCAGTTAGCCGTTAATGAGGGCCACTGGGTGCAGGACCCTGGGCTGCCCGGGGTTGGGTAGCGGATTCCTACGCGTAGGTAAATCTGCATGATGCTGGAGAGAGCGGGCAGTAAAGTGATTGACTCTCTCTGGGGGTGACATTTTCTTTTCTAGTAGGGCTTGGCCAGGCAGGCAAGGTGGAGCCTGGTGGGCCAGGTGCAGGGCTTCGAATGAGGAGGTGTGAGCTTGGGGGCGGCACAGGGATGTGGCTTGTCTGGTGAGGGTGTGGCAGGGAGGGCAGACCTGAAGGGACCTCCAGGGAGGTGTGATCAGCTCTGGCTTCCAGAAAGATCCTACCTGCTTGGCGACCTTAACTGAGCTGGAGTCTGGAGGCCCCACCCTTGTACCCAGCTCCTTCCGCTGCCTGCCTCCCACCCCCCAGTGCCAGTTCCCCAGGGCAGTGCCCTCCCAATGCCCTCTTGCTGTACCCTGGTCCCAAAGGAGGCCAAGCTATGAACGTTCCCTGCAGAGGCCCGGGTGAAGCTGTGGTCTTGGAGCTGTTCCCAGAGCACGCTCAGGATGAGGGGACCTGGCCATAGCTTCAACCAAGTGGGGTCCCTCGGTGGCTGCCAGGACTCCTCAGCACCAACCCAGCCCAGTGGGTTGATCTCTGAGGGCCTCGTCGCACTCCGCTGGGCAGTCTGCCCTAGGGGGTGGGGTCAGGACTCCCCAGCACTTTGGGTGGAAGGAGGTGAAGCCAGCGCTGCTGGTGTAGCCTTAAAGAAGCAGGAGACATCCTAGCTCCGTCTCAAGATTTCTCCTCTGCACCCAGCATTCTGCTCCTCAAAAGTCCCAAATATGCAGGGGGTAAAGGGGCATTGCTCAATGGAATCACTGGGGAGCCTGGGCTGCTCCCCAGCCTCTGGTTTGCCCCATAGCAGCCCCTTAGGCACCTCTGGGGAGCCCCAGGCCTCTGAGGAGCATGGTTTGGAAAGCACTGGAATGCTGGACCAAGTTCCCTCTCTGGCTCCCTGAAAGGGGGTCTTCTAGCCCCAGTCTTAGGGCAGGAGGGAGCCCATCCCCTAGGAGCCCCCAGGTCCTGGAGCTGGACATCGGGAGTCCTAGGTGCACCGCTTCCTGGCTATGTGAGCTTGGGCAAGTTACTGAGCCCCTCTGAGCCTCCATTCACCATCTGTAGAATGGAAGAGACGCTAATGTCTCCCTGGAAGGTGTTTCAAAGGGTAATGCATGTAAAGGGCCCAACGAGGCCCGGCACAGTTAGAGACTTGATCCTGCCCGGCCTTGGGAGGGTCTCCAGCACCTCAGGGTTCCCCTCAAAGGAGGGCCTGGGCAGGCCTGCTTAAAAACAAACAGGAATGCCCCTGGGTTTCATGCTTTAAAACAAAACCACATGTTTTGGGGCCAGATGCAGTGGCTCATGCCTGTGATCCCAGCAATTTGGGAGGCCAAGGTGGGCAGATCATGAGGTCAGGAGTTTGAGAGCTGCCTGGCCAACATGGTGAAACTTTGTCTCTACTAAGAATACGAAAAGTAGCCAGGTGTGGTGGTGTGTGCCAATAATCCCATCTACTCAGGAGGCTGAGGCAGGAGAATTGCATGAACCCAGGAGGTAGAGGATGCAGTGAGCTGAGATCGTGCCACTACACTCCAGCCTGGGCGACAGAGCAAGACTCCATCTCAGGGGAAAAAAACAAAAAACCTCATATATTTAACTTTGAAAGTCCAGGAATTGCTAGCTGCCTTCTGATACTTAGGCAAAGTTCAAACAATCTGGAAGTGTTTTGTTGTTTTGACTGATAATTTATTGAAGTAAAAGCCACACAACATAATATCAACCATTTTAAAGCACGGAACCCAGAGGCATTCCTGTTTATTTTATTTTATTTTTTATTTTATTTTTTTTTTGAGACGGAGTTTCGCTCTTGTTACCCAGGCTGGAGTGCAATGGCGCCATCTCGGCTCACCGCAACCTCCGCCTCCTGGGTTCAGGCAATTCTCCTGCCTCAGCCTCCTGAGTCGCTGGGACTACAGGCACGCGCCACCATGCCCAGCTAATTTTTTGTAGTTTTAGTAGAGACGGGGTTTCACCGTGTTGACCAGGATGGTCTCGATCTCTTGACCTCGTGATCCACCCGCCTCGGCCTCCCAAAGTGCTGGGATTACAGGCTTGAGCCACCGCGCCCGGCCCCCTGTTTATTTTTAAGAAGACCTGCCCAGGCCCTCCTTTGAGGAGAACCCTGAGGTGCCGGAGGCCCTCCCGAGGCCGGGCAGGATCGAGTCCCTAACTGTGCACTGCATGGCCTGAAGCCGTCTCTCCATCCTTCCAGCCATCTGTCTATCTACCCACCCTTCTGCAGGCTGAGGCTTCACTGCGGAGTATCTGTACAGAACGAGGAGAGGACAAGAACATGTTCTAAAGCCTTTCACGGCAAGACCCAGGAAGAAGCTGCAGGCAAACCCAGACTTGAAGGTAGGAAGCTGGGCAGCTGGACCCAGGCACTGGCTGCTATGCCCAGGTGCACCACATGCCGATGCTGCCCGAGGGACCCGCACTCTGTGTCTGAACAGTGGTGGATAGTGAATGAAGGGAGCAACAGGGAGGGACAAGGGCAGGGACGGGCTGGGTGCGGTGGCTCATGCCTGTAATCCTAGCACTCTAGGAGGCCAAGGTGGGTGGATCACCTGAGGTTAGGAGTTTGAGACTGGCCTGGCCAACATGGCAAAACCCCATCTCTACTAAAAATACAAAAAAATGTAGCGGAGTGCAGTGTGGGTGCCTGTAGTCCCAGCTACTTGGGAGGCTGAGGCAGGAGAATCGCTCGTACCTGGGAGGCGGAGGTTGCAGTGAGCCGAGATCATGCCACTGCCCTCTAGCCTGGGTGATGAGGGTGAGATTCTGTCTCAAAAAACAAAAAAGGGGCAGGGAGGGAGGTGGGGCCGGCACTGCTCGAGATGTGGCAGGAGGGCCCCTCTGATAAGGGGGCATTCAAACTGCAACCGGGAGGCTGAGAAGAGCCGGCCTCTCCGCTGGGTGACGGTCTGGGACAGAGTGACTGGCTCAGGCAGAGGCCCAGCGTTACGGAGCTCCTACTTCATTAAGAGGGAATTCACACACCAGCGATTCACCCATTTAAAGTGTACCATCGGTGTTTTTATTTATTTGTTTATTTATTTGAGATTGGGTCTTACTCTGTCACCAGGCCAGAGTGCAATGGCACAATTGTGGCTCACCGCAGCCTTGACCTCCCAGGCTCAAGCCATCCTCCTCCTTCAGCCTCCTGAGTAGCTGTGACTATAGACACACCACTACCCCTGGCTAATTTTTAAATTTTTTGTACAGGTGGGTCTCACCATGTTGCCCAGGCTGGACTTGAACTCCTGGGCTCAAGCAATCCTTCTACCTCAGTCTCTCAAATTGCTGAGATTACAGTGGTGAACCATCACTCCCAACCTTCAGTGGTTTTAATGTATTCACAGTGGGTGGGTGTGGTGGCTCACACCTGTAATCTCAGCACTTTGGGAGGCTGAGGCAGGTGGATCACTTCAGGTCAGGACTTTGAGACCAGCCTGGTCAACATGGCGAAACTCCATCTCTACTAAAAATACAAAAATTAGCTGGGTGTGGTGGCTTGTGCCTGTAATCCCAGCTACTCAGGAGGCTGAGACAGGAGAATCACTTGAACCCTGGAGGTAGAGGTTGCAGTGAGCCAAAATCGCACCACTGCACTCCAGCCTGGGTGACAGAGCAAGACTCTGTCTCAAAAAAGACAGAAAGAAAAAGCCTGGGCATGGTGGCTCATGCCTGTATTCCCAACACTTTGGGAGGCCGAGGTGGACAGATCACGAGTTCAGGAGTTTGAGACCAGACTGGCCAATATGGTGAAACCCTGTCTCTACTAAAAATACAAAAATTAGCCAGGCGTGGTGGCACGCACCTGTAGTCTCAGCTACTCAGGAGGCTGAGGCAGAAGAATCACTTGAACCTGGGAGGTGGAGGTTTCAGTGAGCTGAGATTTTGACACTGCACTCCAGCCTGGGCAACAGAGTGAGACTCTGTCTCAAAAAAAAAAATTATATATATATGTATATTCACAGAGTTGTACCACCATCACCACAGTCAGTTTTAGATTGCTTTTATTACACCCTAAAGAAAGCCTGTACCCAGGCCGGGCACGGTGGCTCACGCCTATAATCCCAGCGCTTTGGGAGGCTGAGGCAGGTGGATCATGAGGTCAGGAGATCAAGACCATCCTGGCTGACATAGTGAAACCCTGTCTCTACTAAAAGTATAAAAAATTAGCCAGGCTTGGTGGCATATACCTGTAGTCCCAGTTATTTGGGAGGCTGAGGTGGAGAATTGGTTAAACCCAGGAGGCGGAGGTTGCCGTGAGTGGAGATCACACCACTGCATTCCAGCCTGGATGACAGAGCGAGACTCCATCTCAAAAGAAAAAGAAAGCCCAGCCGGGCGCGGTGGTTCTTGCCTGTAATCCCAGCACTCTGGGAGGCCGAGGTGGGTGGATCACGAGGTCAAGAGATCGAGACCATCCTGGTCAACACGGTGAAACCCCGTCTCTACTAAAAATACAAAAAATTAGCTGGGCATGGTGGCGTGTGCCTGTAATCCCAGCTATTCGGGAGGCTGAGGCAGGAGAATTATCTGATTCCAGGAGGCGGAGGTTGCTGTAAGCCGAGATCGCGCCGTTGCTCTCCAGCCTGGGTAACAATAGCGAAACTCCGTCTGAAAAAAAAAAGAAAAAGAAAAAGAAAAAGAAAGCCTGCACCCTTTAGCTGTCACCTCCTCCCTGCCCAGTCCCCACTTATCCAGTCCTAAGCAACCACTAGCCTGCTTCTGTCTGTAGATGTCCCTATTCTGGGCCTTCGTATGCATGGACTCAGGCAGTGGGTAGCCTTCCGTGACTGGCTCCTCTCACTGGACACAGCATTCTCAAGCTCGTCCATGTTGTAGCTGTGTCAGGACTTCCTTCCTTTTGTGGCTGAAGGATGCTCCATTGTGTGACTTGACCGCATTTTATATTCGTGCCTTTATCTGCTGACAGGCGCTGCTGTTGTTTCCCTTTTCAGGCTCTGGGGAGCCGTGCTACTGAGCACTTCCTGTCCAAGTTTCTGTGTGGACACAGTGCTTCAGTGTGTGAAGCCATCACTCATTTATTTATTTATTTATTTATTTTTGAGACTGAGTCTCACTCTGTCGCCCAGCCTGGAGTGCAATGGCAGAATCTCGACTCACTGCAACCTCCCCATCCCAGGTTCAAGCAACTCCTGCCTCAGCCTCCTGAGTGGCTGGAACTACAGGTGCCCACCACCACACCCAGCTCATTTTTGTACTTTTAGTAGAGACAGGGTTTCACTATGTTGGCCAGGCTGGTCTTGAACTCTTAGACTCAGGTGGTCCACCTGCCTCAGCCTCCCAAAATGCTGAGATTACAGGCATGAGCCACCACGCCCGGCAATGTCATTCACTCATTTGGTCCTGCAGATGCTTCCCTGGGGAGGAACTGTGACTCTCCCCCTTGTACGGGTAAGGACTTGAGTGATGAGCGGCCAAGTGACTCACCCAACAGCAAATGCAAGACTGTGGGCCCAGAATGTGCCCCCGGCTCCAACGCTTTCGATCTTCGAACCCCACTCCCAGCAGAGCTTGGCGAGTTTGAGACAATGAGAGGCCCAGAAAGGCTGGGTCAGGGGTACGCAAGGGCACGGGAAGAGGTGAAGAGAGGGCCTGGAAGTCCCAGTGAGACGTTTGGACTTTGGGTGAGAACACGAAATCCTGGGAGAGTGTTGAGCAGGGAGTGACACGTGTGATCTGTGCTTTCGGGAGGTCGCTTGTCCCAGCCGTGGTGTGGGGAATGATCAGTGTCAGAGGGCTCAAGGCAGCAGGTAGAGGAATTGAGAGAGTGGAGTGGGCCTCCAGGTGAGAGGAGATGGCGGAGGTGAGGTCAAGATGGAGGGAGGAAGACAGGTTCAGAATACACACGGCTGCTGTCTCGCCCACCTGTGCATCCCACGCTTCAGCCCACACACGCCCTTGGCCAAAGGGCTCCCAGGGAGGTGGGGATGGAGTCCCTGGCTTTGAACAAGGAGAGGAAAAACAAAACTTGCCCAGGAACCTTGGGATGTGAGGGAGAGGAGACAGCTGGGGGTTTTAGCAAGAAGACGGTCATGGGCCAGGGCAAGAGATGAAATGAAGAGAGTGAAATAGCCAGAGGGCGTTAATTCCGGTGGAGTCAGAGGGGAATTGGAGATGGGCGGCACAAGCACAGGAAATCCCCAGATGGGGTGTTAGGCAAGACCCACTGAAATTCGGGATGGACTTCCCTTCAACCCAGCCATTCTGCTTCCAGAACGTGGTCTTGTGTAAACAGTACACGTGGCATATGCAAGGGTGTTAGTTTCAACATCACACCCATGTCTCCAATTCTGGAAACATCCTAAACAGCCAGCAATTGGGACTTAAGTAAGCTTTGGTGCCTTCGATTCTATGAAATCTTTGCATCCATCAGCCAGGCCCAGCGGCTCGCATCTGTAATCCCAGCACTTTGGGAGGCCGAGGCAGGTAAATCACCTGAGGTCAGGAGTTCGAGACCAGCCTGGCCAACATGGTGAAATCCTCTCTCTACCAAAAATACAAAAATTAGCTGGCACCTGTAATCCCAGCTACTCAGGAGGCTGAGGCAGGAGAATCGCTTGAACCCGGGAGGAGGAGGTTACAGTGAGCTGAGATCTCACCACTGCAGTCCAACCTGGGCAACAAGAGTGAAACTCCATGTCAAAAAAAAAAAATCTTTGCATTCATCAAAAAAGTTTTGCCATCCAAAGTGCAGTGGCCTCTGCCTGTAGTCCCAGCACTTTGGATGGCAGAAGTTGCAGTGACCCAAGATGGTGCCACTGCACTCCAACCTGGGTGACAGAGTGAGACCCCATCTCAAAAAAAGAAAAAAATGTAGGTCTGTCTGTATGTGTTGACAGGGAAAGATGTCCACATTGCAGATAAAAGAGTGTGGGCCAGGCGCAGTGGCTCACGCCTGTAACCCCAGCTACTTGGGAGGCTGAGGCAGGAGAATTGCTTTAACCTGGGAGGTGGAGCATACACTGAGCCAAGATCATGCTACTGCCCTCCAGCCTGGGCAACAGAGCAAGACCCTGTCTCAAAACAAAAAATGACGTGAGTGTGTGTGGAATTTTGAAGTATGTATTTCCAGGCCCAGAGAGGCCTTCCAGAGGATGGAGGGAAAGGAGGGTCATCTGCTCACGTTCTGCTTTATAGAAGTCTGATTTTTTTTTCTTTGAGACAGCGTCTCACTCTGTTGCGCAGGCTGGAGTGCAGTGGTGTGATCTTGGCTCACAGCAACCTCCGCCTTGCGGGTTTAAGAGATTCTATTCTCCTGCCTCATTCTCCCGAGAGGCTGGGACTACAGGTACGAGCCACTGTGCTTGGCTAATTTCTGTATTTTAATAGAGATGGTGCTTCTTCATTATTTTGGCCAGGCTAGTCTCGAACTCCTGGCCTCAAGTGATCCACCCACCTTCACCTTCCAAAGTGCTGGGATTATAAGCGTGAGCCACTGCACCTGGCTGTGTGATTTTTTTTTTTTTT